CTCTGCACCCGTGGGCTGCGAGAAGGACAAGGTGACTCAGGAACAGCACCAGGCAGGTGAGAGCCCCAGCGGGTGGCCAGGGCTGTGCTGTACACACCAATTTGTCTAATCCTGTTGAAAATGACGCTTTAAGTTATGGGACTATGGGAGGAAAAGACCTAAAAATGTATTTGGTTTTCCCCTGCTGCCTGTTTGCCTTGAGTTTTAGTGACATTTTATTTCAAGTTTACTGAAACTTGAAAAAATAATTTTATTCCATCACTTGGATAATGTAGACTAAAAAACCTTGAATCTCAGACTAGGCACCAGCCTCTTAAAGGCTCTTTCTTTTCCATTTTAAAATATTTTAACTCCTACATGTGTTAAGGGACTTACCACAGTAGTCTCAGAAAACCTGCTTCATACCCAAAGTTCTAATTTGGCGAAGGAAATATTTTATTTTTTAAAATATACAGAAAGCAAATTGAGATTTTTAGTTAAAGCAAGAATTCAAGTTTATCTCCAAAGCTGCCTCTGGAATTTCTATGCAGGGTGGGGTTTGGGTTTGAGGAAGCCAGAGGTGTTCCCAACTGCAGCTGAGGCTGGTGCTATCCTGGCCCCATTTTTCTTAACATACTTCTACACGCATGCACACACCCCATCTGGTCTGTCCCAGTGCCAAGGTAAGGGTGCTCGCCAGACACTTAAGCGAGTTGATATATTGGAAATGGATTTCTTACCAGTTCTTTATTGTATCTTTCAGTACAGCCCCCAAATTCCACCCCATCCGCAAGTCAGGCTGCCAGAGTTTCACTCTGATCTATAGTATCTAATGTTGAAGTTGTGGGTCTAATTTCAGGAGCGGGTACCTTGGCAGCTAGCCCGCCTTTTCATCAGAGAAAGACAGAAAAAGAGTATAGCAACGGATTAGAATTTTATTTAATTTTCAACTGAAACTCCCAAAAGCTCACTCTCAACAAAACAGCTGTAATATTATAAATGAACCTTTATTAAAGACACTTCAATGCCGTTTGTTAGACACTTCAATATCTTACATGTTTTTCAATGTACAACATTGTACCAAATTTTCTAATAAATAAATAACTTTGTACACAAAAGTAATACTTCCTCTTTCACATTGCCTCTTAGAAGCAGCAAATTCACATATTTAGTGGAAGTCATAACGTTAGGCAGTTAACTTTATTCAGAAACATTATTTTCAAATGTTAATGTGGCAAATATGCTTTGTATCTGCAATGGTGATGACATTTCCGCCAGCAAAATGAGTCAATGAAATCATTCCCATCTTCCCCCTGTCCCCGGTTCCACTGTTTTCACCTTGCGAGTCAGTTCTGAAGCATACTTCTCCCTTGAGTAAAGGGGAAAATGACGCTCGGTTTATAATTTTCTAACATCCATTTCCTTTGCTTTGAATAAACTTGGCACTCAACATAATTCGCCACCTGTCTCAAAGTGCAAACGTGTCAATAGTCAGGAACTGATACAGACAGGTACCCGGCGGAATTATGCCTTGCTTCATCGCGCTCAGGATCAGCTGGCCATCGACTACTGGGCAAGAGGCTTCCCCTTAGGGGAGGCGGTGGCTCCTCAAGGTAAGGCTCTCAGTGAACTTGGCTCCTCAAGGTAAGGCTGGACAGGACGCGGTAGTGCTCGGGCAGATCCCTAAAGTGATGGATCTGAACAGAAAATTAAATGTTTCTGCCCTTATTTCTGATGCTTGTTTTGAGCCACAATATTAGCAAAGGTGGATTTCCACCAGACTCGGCTTCAGTGGAACTGGCATTTGAGTTGCTCCTAAGGAAAAAAAAAAAGTAACGAAACCCCCAAATAAATCTTCCCCCAAAGTAGTCATCACCAGAGTTAGCGACCTTATGTTAGCACAACTCAAATTACAAATAGCTGGAAGGGAGTCCTCCATCCACAGGTACCAACACCAACAGAAAGCAGCCTTTCTATAAATAAAAAGCGTCATAGTGAAGCTAGAAGTGACAAAGATCCGTTTGGCCAATGTGGGTATATCTTTTTCCCCCCCATTCATGGATGAACTTAAAAGACCACATAAAAATATTTGGGACATTTCCATTTAACAGAGTACTTTCAGCTGTAAATATACAGTTTCCCTTCTAAATGAGTGTATTTCTGAATAGCCTCGAATTGCTTCACAAAGCAGCCTAATTCATTTGAAGCGGATAATTTCATGTAAAGAGTCTGGCTGCGGATGGGGGTAATGGTATTCAACACAAAAGCGTAGTATTGTGTAGCAGGCAAAAAAAAAAGTATCGAATTAATGGTCCAGCTGTCAGCTTAAGAGTGTGATTTTAGTTTTGTTGTCAAAACAGCTCTATGGTTTCAACCCCCCCCTCCCCCCCCAACAGATCTATTATCCCCTGTAATCCAAAGGGAAATGGTGAGGGACCTGCTTCAGCACCTGGAGATACACAGATCTATGGGACGGGGTGGGATCCACCCGAGGGTACTGAAGGAGCTGGTGGAAGCGCTAACCAGGCCGCTCTGCATCATTTATGAGCAGTCCTGGCTAACCAGGGAGGTCCCAACTGACTGGAGGTTGGTAAATGTGACACCCATCCACAAGAAGGGTCGGAAGGAGGATCCAGGGAACTACAGGCTGGTTGGTCTGATCTTGGTGCTGGGGAATGTTATGGAGCAGATCATCCTGAGTGCCATCACACGGCACATACAGGACAACCAGGTGATCAGGCCCAGTCAGCACAGGCTCATGAAAGGCAGGTCCTGCTTGACTAACCTGAACGCCTTCTATGACAAGGTGACTGCTTAGTAGATAAGGAAAAAGTTGTGGATGTCGTCTACCTGGACTTTAGTAAACCCTTTGACACTGTTTCCCACAGCATTCTCCTGGAGAAACTGGCT